CGCATAGTTTAAAGTACAATAACCAGGAGGGTATGTTATTTAACAGGCGGCATTTCCATCTGGTGTATGTTGGTAATGAGTGGATATTCCAGTATGAGCGCATAAGATGTGCCCGGGTGCCTACACATCTCAACCAGGCAGTGTCTTTATTAAGCACAAGTATTTTGCATTACAATTAAACATCTTCCACAGAATTCTCTAAAGAAAAAGCCTATATACCTTGAAAATCTTCATTTTTAGACAGCTTTTTACGATTTTGTTCAACCTACACAACCACATAGTGTAAAATTTGACAAGCAGGTAGTCCTTGCTGGGTGTAGTGCTGTGTTGGTGGAAACTTGCCCACGTTGGGATTAAGCTCTGTTTTAGATTCCCTGGTACCTTGTTCTTACTAAACCATTTAGAAAAGCAAGCCATATACATAAGTGTGAAACATTCAAATTTTAGGCAGACGTAGTATGCCATGAAGTATAAAATAAGAAGTCAGAGGTAAATACTGTGACATAATTCTGAGATTTTGTGCCAAATGGTGTGATATTCCTAAATCCATTGGGGAAGCTTAAGCTGCGGTTGATTTAAAGGAGAAAATGGTGTCTTCTCAAGTGCCTTTACTGTTTTGTTTTCCCCAAGTATCTTTATGTTGCAAAAAATTGAATATAACTTTACGTTGTCAAAGAGCAGACCAGGGATGGCAATGTGATACCCATTTAGGAAGTGCTCTGTAAAGCTCTTGTTGAACCACAGGAAATCAAATGACTGAGGGACTTAATGCCAACTTATACTCCAGGACAAGTCCTAGATGTACTTGGATTATGAGTTGTTAAGACTTTTTTAATCTTAAATCTCCAAGTTTTATGTATTGGTGGGAAAAATTTTTAAGTGCAGAATTAGAAATCTATGAAAACTGCTAATTTTAATCGGTTCTAAAAGACCGAGGAGGTCCAGTGCAATAATGACATCACTGACCTTCATGTCCTTTGTCCTGGAATGTGATCACTCCTCTTCTAGCACATTCTCCTCCGTTTTGGCTCCTTTCCCAGTGCAAACAACCTGTCGACATAATACTGTAATGATGACAGGCTTCCAAGACAGGTGTTTGTACTTTTCCCTAGGTTACATATTTAATTCTCAGAGCAACCTCATGACATAGGCACCTAATTCTGTCATTATTCAGATGAAGAGAAAGGGCTAGGACAACATTGTCTGGATTACATAAGCAGCAAGTGGAGAAGTCAGCCTTGACCTCGATGAACCGGTCGATCTCCAGAGCTTTTAACTGCCAGGCTGTAGAGCCACTCCCTGCCTTTCCAAGGATAGATCTTTTTTTTGGTTTGTTTTAAAGATTATAATTTTTTAAAATTGAAGTATAATCTGTTACAACGTGTCAATTTCTGGTGTCCAGCACAATGTCCCAAGGCTAGATCTTTAATTCACGTGACCTTTCTTTCTGATACACTCTGTCTCTTTACGACTCACTATTTCCTTTCCTTTGATGACTTGTAATTTTCTCCTCAGAATTTTGCTGAAAGTACATATCTCCCAAATTTCTACTCTTATTACCAACTTAGCCTTATTCTTTCTGACTTTATTCTGACATTTGAAACAGCTAGGGCAGCCTCTTAAAACTACCTCCTCCTTGATTTCTGTATCAGTTTTACTGCTTCACTTTCCTTCATACTGCTTTTATTTCACAATTACTGGCTTCGACTACCAGTATTTCTTGAAGCTTCCTCTTTAATCCTCCTTCTCAGACTCCCATTTTAACAGCTTCAGCTCTTGTTTCTGGGATGGTGATGCTTTGTCATCAGGAGTCCTGAATTCTCACTGGATGTCTGTTGTAATATTTTGAACGATCAAATACTCACTTCCACCGGAACACTGATCTCCTCCATTCCAAGTTTCATCTAAGAGCAAGATTCGGCAATAAATCAGGCAATTGTTGCAGCATTTTGCCGGATAAGTAGGACTTAAAACAACGTTTTCATATTCTCATTGCCCTCTTAAAATAAGAGCAACAAATATTTGCTCTTTTCTCTGTGCACTGGCCTGGATTTTCTGGTCTGTCTTCATGTGGCATCTTTCTTCTTACTCCCTCTCTACCAGACCTCCTGTGTGTCCCCCACACCCCGCCCCATGTTCTCCTTTCTCCCTCTGCTTTTCTCTCCTTCCACTGTCCGGAGATAGATCATGTTCTCCCCACCATCCACAGGTCTGCTTTTCTCCCTCTATGTCATGGTGCTCAGCATCCTTCTGTCAAAGTTCCAGTAGGTGGTGATGGTAGAAATGGAAGCCAGCATCCTCATTAGGTGGGCTCCCTCCTTCCCCTATTTCCCCTGTTCATCTTCATCTCTTGGGAATTGTTAAATTGTCCCAGCCTAATTGTTTAACCCTTGGTGTGTTTTATTGTACTCAATTAGCAAGGGACACCATTATTTCATCTCCATTCCCCACGCAGCGCAGCAGTGCTCAGTGTGCTATAGGCATTCGAATAAGCACTTACTTTGATTGAGTCTTGGTCATAGAATACAAGTCCACAGCACGTGGAAAGCTGTGTGAGTTAGTTCCTTTTCTTTATGACATAACAAGAATTCTCTTTTCTAAAATGATAACGTGTTGCTACATTGGGTTTAAGTCCTAAGAGTACTTCAGTGAATTCTGATTATGCTAAGGAATAATTTTTTAAAAGTTAACAATGAATTCTTAGAATTATTCAGGGACTAGGGAAGAAAATACCTGTATACAAGGCTCATTTCTCAACCTTGAATGAAAAAATGCCCATTTGAATGAATTTGCCCATTTAACCAAATTTTACAAAGAAGGTCACTATTTTGGACTTTTTGTTTGCATGTAACTCTACTACCTATTTTTCTCATATAATAGTAATTTTACAGCCCTCATTGTACCCTGCATTGTGTCCTTCATTTGCCCTTGATGGCACCAGGGACTCAGTCACACACCTGCAGTGACTCGTTCACGTAACTCTGTTACCTGTGCTTCTTATACTAATTTGCGTTTGTTTTCATCATTAGGAAAATCATTTAAGACAAATACAGCCTTAAGTTTTCCATTATCTAAAAGCCCCATGTGTGCACTGTGGGCCTTCCAAAGATGCTTCCGATTGTGTAACTGCATTTACTGAATAAAACCTCAGCCGGACAATGAACGAGTGTTTTCACCGTGTGCGAGAGGCCATGTGTCAAAACTGACCTTTCACATGAAACAGCTACAATTATTAGTTGATTCAAGTGTCAGAGCCTCATCATAAGATAAGGATGTTAGCGGGGAAGTTTTTTTCATTTGATAGCAGGTTTCAGAAAGAGTTATAGATGGATTTGATGTTTTCTGTTTGCAAACAGCCTGAAGTGTGTTCCGAGCAATTTAGGTGACCACTTTTGAATTTGAGTTGTGTATCACAATTTTGGTTTCCTTGTAGAGGATTCATAAAGTCATAATAATGCTTTGAGCAATATCTTGTTTTCCCTTGTCTTTTGTAACTTTTAATTTTTTTCAAATTGAAGTGTGGTTGATTTACAATGTGTTAATTTCTGGTGTACAGCAGAGGGATTCAGTTGGAACAGATATATGTTCCTTTTCATATTCTTGTCACTAAAGGTTATTACCAGATACTGAATATAGTTCCCTGTGCTGTACAGTAGGGCCTTGCTGTCTATTTTATATGCAGTAATTAGCAACTGCAAATCCTGAACTCCCAGTTTATCCCTCCACCTCCTCTTTCCCGCTTGTTTTGCACGTCCGTGAGTCTGTCTCTGTTTTCTAAGTAGGTTGATCTATGTCCCTTGTCTGAATGCTCACATGACTGAGGCACAACTAATCTTTCATAAAAACAGTTTCACTGTGTTGATTGCAGGCTCTGTACTACATAAAGAAGCAGTAGATGATAATGAAAGCTCTTTAAAAACTTAGGTTATTTAGGCTAAATGCTTAATTCAGTTTACAGTTGATTACCAAATAAAGTGCTACGGTTTTATAAATAAAAGCTAAAAATAAAAAATTCAGGAAGCAGGAGAAGGTCAAACCTGTTAGAAAAGCTGCTTCAGGAAAACTTGCACCGGGATTAACAAGGAAAGTTTCTCGACAGACTGTAGCTTCCCTCTACACGTCAACGTAGCATGTAGCTTGACTCGGGAAGGCTGCCGAAATTGTTAGTGCGTGCAGATTGCATAGAGATGATGAAACACAGTCATGCAAAATAGAAGTGTTAAAAGAACACACCACAGAAACATCTTCGACTGAAAATGGGAAGTATAAAAATAACACACACAAGGTAGGACAGTGGAAAAATAAGCTAAAGAGAAGAGGTTTCTTTTTGTTTTTAAAGGCAAAGAAAGGTATTTAACACTAAAATCATGGTGTGTGATGGGCCTCAGGCCTGCCTCCATCATAAAAAAAAAAAATCTCCTGGCCAGAAACTAATGTGCCTTGTAATGGTTAGAGAGAAGTGAAGTCAGCCACATGGGGAACTCGAAATAAGCCTCTTGTTAAATCCACCCGCCGTAGAGGAGATGTCACCTTGAAGGTTCAGAGAGCAGAAACGTGAACTTGATAGAAGAAATGTGTGCTAGTTGTGAGTTTAGATACAGAAGAACACCAAGTTTAAGTAAAATAAAAGTAGCATGGAAAAACTCAGTGCTGAACTCTTAAGCCAATCGCTTCCCTTCAAGGTCGTCATTACCCTTAAAAGCACCCCTCTCTCTCCCGCTGTGGGTGTGTGTGTGCAGACACATACATTGCTTTGGCTGGTACCATGGAACCATGGGAAATGACTCTGTAGACTGAAACCGTGCAAAATGATCTTACTAATCGGTGGCAAAAATCCTGTTTTTTTTTTTCCATGACTTTTATAAATTTTAGTCTAAACATTAAACGCTCCTTTTCTGTCACTTATAAGTGTAAAGGGAAATGAAAAATAGTAAAATTAGTTCACTGCAATTTGATACATTGGAGACATTGAGAATTGTTTTGTTTTTTTTTTTTTTTAGCCAAACTACAAGGAGCATTGAACGTTATTCGGACAGCGACACTCGTCTCTTCACGTGAGGGAGGAAAGCGGAGAACTCTGAGGTGAGTGGGGGTCAGTCTCTGACCTAGAGCTGGTCCTACTGCCGGGCTCCTTCCATGGGTCCTGCAGCCTGTGGATCCTGCATCTTCCTGCCTCAGTCAAGATTGCCCTTGGGAGAGGATATCTGGTCTCTGTGTTTACAATTGCATGGGACAGCCAGTTCCTCGTAAAATATGTACCAAGAATAGTTCTGAATAGTACTTGCTTTTTTTTTTCTCACCGTACAGCTCCTGATACGGAGCGAGTGTCATTTCTGCGCCTACCCTAATTGTCATACTGAGTTGGGATCAGCTATCATTTTATCCTTGTGCCACTGATGTTGTGAAACATTGCCAAACTCCTTGTCATGTGAGGTTGTTACCCATCTCTAATCTTCAGGGCAGCCTCATCCTGTTCCTTACAAGCACTTTCCTGTTTGATGTGGATCTGGTCACCCTCACTAAATTCCGCTGGCTGTGTGACCAGTGTGTCTGGACCAGCGGCAGAGACCGCGGTCCCCTGGTTTCCTTCCCCTTTGGCTCCGTGTATGTCTGATTCTAATTTGACTGCTGGTGGTGTTTTGGGGTTTCTTTGCTGCGCGTTCATCGGGATGAGCCTATTCCTGTGAGAACTGTCCAGTTTTGTAAAAATGCTACTTAGGTTTATCACCGGGAGACAAGGAGGCAACGCCGCTATGTGCTTTGCTGTCTGTGTGTGAATTAAGTAACAGATGCACAGTGACGAGTCACCAGAGAAATCAGAGAGGTCTGAGATGGTGATCACATCTGTTATTTACACGGGGGTTTGCATTACTGAGGAGCTAACAGCAACGTTTGCACATTATGCAGTTATTCATAGTCAACATAATGCGGTAACTGAAATCTGAGCAGCTGTCGGGACTGCGTCATCTAGCTGGAATTCCAGCACGGGGGAGTTGTGCGAGCACAGGCAGCCTTTCTGTGTGGGCGAGTTTTGTGTGCTCCGTTGTCCTCTCATCAGACTCCTGAGCTGGGATGTTGTGAACGTGTTTTTACTATTGTGTAAGGTGAAATATTTTCTCTCTGAGAATGTGACCCAAAAGTTAGCATAATTGTTTCAAGAGGAAAGTAGAGATGTTTGAGATGGTGCTGTAGTCTGAAGACAGTCCCAAGAGTAACTTCGGCCAGAGGGGAGGATGTGGAACTTGGGGGGTTTGGACACAATTGAGTCGTTTGAGCCTCACAGCCATGAAAACTTCAAATTTTTATTTATTGTGATTCAGTCAACGTCTCACATTGTGCAAGTTTAAGGTGTATAATGTGTTGGCTTGATGAATTCATATGTTGCCACACGGACTGCTGGAACATTAGCTAATACCTCTGTCATGTCACATAATTGCCATCTCTTTCATGGTGAGAACAATTAAGTCTCTTAGCAGCTTTGAAGTTGACAATGCAGTATTGTTGACTAGACTCACTATGCTGTGCATTCGATCTCCAGGACTTCCTCGTCTACTTCTTTATCTACTGGTTGCAAATTCTACCCTTAAGCAACTTTTCCCCAGTCCCTGCCCCACCCTCCCAACCCCTAATAACCACCATTCTAGTGTTTCTATCAGGCCTTCTTGAAAAGCCTTAAATTAAGCTATAACTTTGTATTCAAGTGACCATATATATAGTCTGAGTACATACTGATGGGATTTTGAAAAATTGTTTTTCATATTTAAATTTTTAAACAAGTTTCTTAAAGTCTTAGATACAAAAGGAAGAGACTCGAGGCTTCCTCCTCTCTGAAAGTTGCTTTATCAGCATTTGCCTCTCATCACAGAATTTCAGAGCTGGAGATCATGGGCTTCTCAAGGACAAATCTTTTCCAGGTGAAAAAACAATGAATCAGAAAAACAAAAAGAAGGAGGATCGTATTTTTCTCAGATAACCCAGTGCAGGTGAAGTCTTCCTGTGAAGTTTACAATCTGGAAAGTACACTTTCATATCTGTTCGTTGACTTCATTTCTCACAACAGCCCTCTGAGGTTGGCTAGCCGGAGTTAAGGTCTCTGTGCCAGTAGAAACCAGATTTCAAGGAATCAGATGTCTTTCCTGAGGGAGCACAGCTGCCGACAGGAGCCCTCGTCCCCTCAGCCTGCAGGCGACACCTGCTCCCTCCTTGTGGCCGCATGTGTAGAAGTTGTTTCCATTTCCATTCACACGTCTAGACCCTCATTTACAGAAGCAGCTAAAACTTTGAGTGACTTCCCTGCAGAATGTCCTTGGCAACCTTGATCTCTTTTCCCAAAGATTTGCACTCTAAACTGCAAAAATATATAACTTGCTAGAACTATTAATTCAGGGTCAAGCAGAAAGCTTTCAGGACCCATCAACAAAAGGAAAATGATTAAACGGTTTACTTGGAAATGCGGACGGTTTTGCTGTTAAGTCACCTGCATACTGTTAATGTTTGCCTGCGGACCAGTCCAGGTGGACTCGGAGCCCCATTCTCCTGAGGTTCCTGTCGTTTCTACTGCTGTCCACCTGTCTGATAATGACTTCATTAGCTGGTTGCCTTCTCTAGAGGGCTTCTAAACTTTTCGGACAAATTTTTGTGTCACATACCCATATTCATAATTCCTTTACTGCCAAAATATTTGCTACCTGGGCAGAGTTAGAGATACTAACACAAATTACATGAATGTATTAAGGAGATAAAATGCTAGACACGTTTTAAGGAGAATGTCTGCTCTTATTTAAAGAGTCTGAGTTCTTTATATCCCTGCCCTGTACAGAAGGCAGCCATCCTGAAATAGAGAGGCTTACTACAGAAATGATGGGGACATTTTTGAAACAGTCGTAACTAAGTATATAAAATACACCTGTGATTTCTCCAGTGAATGCTTCATCCCTAACTTCCCTATGCAGAAGGCTTAAAGACGGCTAAAATTTTTATGCAGAAAATTGCGTGTCCACAGCAAACCCAACCTGCTAGATGAATTTTAAAAATACCTTTGAATCTTTTGTGTCAGAGTATAGGAAATAAAATGAATGATAAATTTAATGGGATAAACACTTGGACGTATATTTGTGTAATGAAAGCTTTTACATTGACAAGTTTACTGATGTAACATCTTACATAGACTTTTCTCGATAACAATTAACCACCCATTTCCCCTTTGTCTTTCATGATGATGACAGGTCAAATATTTTCTGCAAACAGTAATTAGTTTTGAATAATTCCATTAGAATTTGTATGTTTCAATTTTTATAGCAATCAAATCATTGTAAGAGTCACCATTTGAAAATTCAGTCAAATTTATCTGAATCTTAAGCTTGGAGAATCATAATTTATGAAATAGTCCAGTGGGATAATATACATTTAATAGCCTGAGACTGCACTTGGAGTTATCTGCATGTAACAAGCAATTTGTTCAAGGTGAAGATTCTAAAACACATACGAGGTTTGCCTATTTCCTGGAGGTTCACATTAAATCCATCCAACAGTCAAATGACCTTGCCACCAGCTGCCTCTCAGAAAACTGGCATTTACATTTGTAAGGTTAAATAAAACACATGATGGGGAAACCCCAAAAGGAAGAATGATTACGAATCAGAGGAATATATCATAGGTTTCTCCCATCTTGCCTGACAGTTCAAACCTTGGTATGATGCTCACGTCAAGTGCAATCTCTCTTCTTGTGAATTGTCTCTCTATTGTGCTTGACAACTCGAGTTCCTTGTGACAAACTGAAATAATTGTTCTGCATAAGAGAGGACCTTTTAAAAAAGGTGACGATTCTGGGTTATGGTCTCAAGTAGTGTGCGTGACTGTCCACGCCACCTGTCTCTTCACCACCTAAAGGCATCTGAAACATGCTGTGAGTAATAGGTACCAAGTTGGGAAGGTGTTTTAGATAATACGCTAGGTAGGTAGTACAATTCAAGTGAAAAAGTGATTCATTTATTTTTAGAATTCTGAGTAATTTCTAGAGAATTATATGTATATACTTAGGAAAAATAGATTATAAACATTTAAACATAGTTAATAAAGAAAGGTTAGAACCCAAAATGATTAGTGGTTATCCTTGGAGATTTTAAAAGAATTTCTACCGGTAATTTTTTCTTGGCTTGACCTCCCCCCAACATCCCCCCATGCATCATAGCTTTGTGCTGGGCTTAAGTTTCTTCAAATTCAATAGAACTATTATTGACTCTTCAGCACTGAGCATTTTAAATAGGTCATTGTGCTCTTTCATTTTATTAATTTGTATATAGTGCTTAAATTTGTCTTTTCAAATCATTGGATTTGTCTGTCTTGAATACATGTAAAGAATCTGTCTTATTTTGTTTTCCTTAGGTGATAAGTAACATTCTTCTTTTTTTTTTTAAGTTTTGTTTTTATTAAAGTGTAGTTGATTTACAATGTTAGTTTCAGGTATACAGCAAAGTGATTCGGTTACATCTATGTGTGTGTGTGTGTGTATATGTATGTATACATATATATATATAGCAGATTCTTTTCCATCATAAGGAATAACTAACATTTTATTTTCACTTTCATTCTATTTGTTTTTGTCTTGTTTTTCAAGGGCTTGAAAGAAATCTCTGGATTTCCAGACATTGGATGTTGATGTGAGGTTGGGTTGTACATTGACTACAGTGTGGCTTGCTCATCCATTCTCTGCTGACTCACCCACATTGCATTGTCCACTCCCCCATCCAGTGCAGGGGAGAGTAGACGTGGCTGCACAGGAGTCTTTCTGGGCATCAGGTGGAACAACTTCCACATCTCAATTAGCCCCAGTGTAAGCTGACTGACTTCCTCCAGTGTGTGAAGCATTCGAATTGAACTAGTTCTATCTAAACGGCAGTCAATATTGACAGAATGATTCATACGGCATCTCCAAAGGTTTAATAAAATTAAGTCAGTTCACAGAGAATTGGTACCTATCATATAAGTGTCAAGCTGGTCCTACTCCTTTGATTAGGAGGTTGAATTCCCAGGACAGCAGGTTTTATAACCTCAGAAGTGGGGGAAAAGGTTTTCCACACTTG